ATTGGTAATTTAAAATGTTAATTAGAGCCGACCTGCAGGATATTGAGCCCCATCTTCGACGAAAATACCCCAAGTTTGTGTCGTTTTTCCTTAATTAAATACGGAGGGAATGATTTACTTAATATCTAATTTAGTTAGGCCTACAATGATGAAGCTATTAAGTCCATCAGTATGAGGCTAAACGCAAACCTATTACACCAAAGTTATTTTCGATAAGAATTTTAATTTTAAACATTTTGGAAACAATACAATGGACATTTTTATTGACAGCGATTAAAACTCTTCAGCTTCACCAACTGTTTATATGTAGTGAATCAGAATTCAATTACGGGACAGTATAGAATAATAAACCTAATTGCAAATGCAGGTAGTGTTCGTGTCCAATATATGTCCATGTCATAGGTACTTTGAACAATGATGATAATTAATTGACTGGAAATTCCATTATTGTTAATAGAGAATATTACATGCAGTGTTATACTATAAACCTTTTATATGTTACTATAAAAGGTAAAATTTTCTTTCATCCTATTCAATAAAAAAAAAAAAAAAAAAAAACTGCACGTCATAAGTCATCGAACCATTTCATGAGGTTTACTTTTGATGTTGATATAAATAAAAACCACCAAGCAAAACAATTTTGTTAATTCATTGTTTATCATACCTGTAAAAAAATGAATGTTAGTCCAAGTGAAAATCGGAAAATACAAAATGTGTTAAGAAATAAATTAGATATTTTACGTTATTATGTAAATAAAAATTTCCTGAAGCACTCAGCAGTTTTAATTTATTCGTGCGTAATATTGAAAACGTAGTTTTATTCATTAGAAGGCAATAGCTGATCTATTTGACTCATGTGTAAATCAGTATAAAATACTGTTTTCTCAGCAATTACTCGACCGATCTACAAGATTTATGTCTCAAATTAAAGGGGATAATGCATAGATTTGCCGAACTTCATTAGAATTTACGTTTTTTCTAAGGGCTACGACCTACAGCCCTTTAAAGGTCGAGTCAATACAATTCTTATTGAAGAATATAATACACAGTTTATAAATTATTCGTCAGCTGTTTAATGTTTGTCAGACATTATTTTTATAACCTCAGAGTATGCAATTATTAAAACTTGGAGTTTCTGTTTATAAACACACGATTTTGATCACGGAAAGTGTTTGTTAACTTATTTTTGAAATGTTTCAGTTTTCCTGCAAATTGATCCGAAGGAAAGTGGTAATTGAGTTTAAGTTTGAGTATGGAATGTGAAATAATACCCATAGTAGGGAACGGAAACTTATTGTTTTGATCAATATAATTTATTCTCTATGGCCACCAGAATAATCATGGGGAAATCCGCTTGCAAATTGTACATATAATTGCTAATGAGTGGGGAACATACAAACATTTTATAGTATGTGACGAATCTTACTCCAAGATCAGTGTTAGACGTTCAGTGGTACCAAACTTTACCTTCTCGAGATGGCGAGTACGCTGGGATACGTGGGACTTCAATACATAAATACATAATGCAATACTGCAATACATATCAGTGATTTTTTTCAAATACACAGGGAAGTTGCTTGAGAAACTGTGACTTACCATTCGGTTCTTGCGAAGAAGTATGTGACTTGATGTTTAGTGGCAATGTTGACTCGGGTCATTATAGCGTCATAAAACTTTATCATGAACCCCAGGGTGTGAAAAGTACAAAAAGAAAAAGAAAAGGTAATCATCAACCGGGCGTAAAGAGACATACCGAACAAAATTAGAGAACCATCGAACTAAAAAGGTAAAGAGCAGTGTTGGTGTTAAATGTGCTCTGGAAGTCCCTACAAAAAAATACCAACTCTTTTGAATTGGGGTCGTTATATTGGATTTGTCACTACTTCAAATCTATGAATTTCGAGTCAGAACAGAATAACTGGGACACAAAAATGTTTTAGTTTTCCTGCAAAGTGATCTGAAGGAAAGTGGTAAATGAGTTTAAGTTTGAGTATGGAATGTGAAATAATACCCATAGTAGGGGACGGAAACTTATTGTTTTGATCAATATAATTTATTCTCTATAGCCACCAGAACAATCATAGGGAAATCCACTTGCAAGTTGTACAGATAATTGCTAATGATTGTTAAACATAGAAACATTTTATCGTAAGTGATTAATCTTACTCAAGATCAGTGTTCGACGTCCAAATTTTACCTTCTCGAGATGGCGAGTACGCTGGGATATTTGGAACTACAATTTATCAGTGAACTATACCCTAACTACATTTTTTTCGAGTAGGCCTACACAGGGAAGTTGCTTCAGAAACTGTGACTTACGATTTCGGTTCTGGCGAAGAAGTATCTGACTTGATGTTTAATGGCAATGTTGACTCGCGTCATTAGAGCGTTATAAAACTTTATCATTAACCCCAGGATGTGAAAAGTACAAAAAGAAAAAGAAAAGGTAATCATTAACCGGGCGTAGAGAGACATACAGAACGAAAAAAAACATGTAGAGAACCATCAAACTAAAAAGGTAAAGAGCAGTGATGGTGTTAAATGTGCTCTGAAGGTCCCTTCTAAAAAATACCAATTTTTTTGGATTGGGGTCGTTAGATTGGATTTGTCAGTACTACAAATCCATGAATTTTGAGTCAGAACAGACTAACTGGGACACAAATATTTTTTCCTTATGTTGTCACAAGGGGAAGGTAAAATGATCTCCTTATCAACATTTTGAGTTTATGGAAAATCTTATCAACAGCGACTATAAAAAAAGTATTAAGGGTCAAAAGAGACAAAAAACTATTTGAGTAAAATATAATACAAATCTGCATTTGAAATGGCCAGTTCCAAGTCTCACTTGAATCAACATCTTTCTGGTAGTGGTAGTCTACATAGTTTTAAAATCCACGACTCCTTTTCCATCAAATTGGACCGTTAATACCCTCTAACATTGAACAAAGTATGCCCAACTTTATATATACGACGTAAACACAGCTTTTACTCACAGTATGGGTCAAAGATTAGTGAAATGCGACCAACTGCTGATGCGTGATTTACATGTAGGCTAAGTGACTATCTTTATTCCATACAACAAATGTAATGAAAAAAAACTACGAATATAGGAATATACTTAAGCAAATTATCTAAATAGCATAAATAGCTGCTTATTAGGTTATCAGCATTGCCCAGTTCGTATACTATTTACTTTTTCAAATGAAACTCGAATTAATATAAAAAGTTCATTTGGTTAAAATAATATATCGGTTTGATTAACATAAAATAGTTTATACAGGCAAACTATCATTTATTTTTCATGTAAAAAATCAAACAACACATAAATAAAATAAAAAGATAAACATTATTTGTTAATTATTATTTCTTTTATTGCTGACAATATTCCCGTGGCGGAGCACGGGCGGTTAACTAGTAAAGATTATATTTCGCCGTTTTCTAAACTTGACAAAGGTGTTATAGAATTACACTAAATGATATTCAAAATATAAAAGAACCATTTTATTGAATTCTTAAACACATCAACCTAAGCAGAATATTTACTAACAAACTTAATAATAATAAATCAGCTGATGTATTAATTACTTATTGAGCGGAGCGAGCGAAGCGAGCGTAGCTCTTTGGGATCAACTTCAATGCAACAAATAGAGAAACATCACTCAATAACGGCTGAACGCATTTCAGCCAAACTTAACAAAATTACTTAGACTAATAGTGAGATGGTTTTTAAACAAGCAAATTTCAATTAGATAATACTGATGCAATTTAAAACAAACTTAAAATTTCCAATTTTTTACATTAGGCTTATGGGTCTAAAGTAGCCATATGACAGCTTTTTGTTTACAAGAAAAATGTAAACAAGAGAATCATAAGGTATTTCTTAACTTTCTAGACTTTTCTTTTAAACGTTTTTAAACCATTCCTATGATTTTAATAAACAAGAAAATGCCGTTAAAGCATTTTTTCAAGGCGCGGAATTCACTGAAAATTGAGAAAATATACAGAACTACTTTCTCAAGGCGCGGAGCATAAACAAGGAGCGGAGGGATACGGACCGCGGTGACTACTTTCTTGGGAACCTATTTGTGTTGCCAGCTGATTAGAATTTAGAAACAGCCAATGTTAGAAATAAGAATCTAATAAGCGATATATCGAACCGCATCGAAATCGATATTTAATCCGATAATACCTCACAGGTTATATTATGTTGAATTACATCGACGGTGCAAAAAGTTATTACACTTATTAATAAAACGCAGATTGAACACTGATCTAATTTCGGCATGTGGGGAAGGTAGGTCGGGGTTTATGAGTATTCGTGGTTTATGAGTATTAGTGTTTTGAAGTAAGGTTAGATTAGGAAGGTAAAGTGTAGGTTATAGGTAGGTGATCGGGTTGTTTATTTGTGTTGCACCATATAATTTTTATCTTTTGGAATAGTTGGTTAAACGGGGAAACGATTACAAAAATGCTTGCATTATGGTATTAACAAGCCATCTACGGTATTCTAGCATTGTCTTTATATAAAGTCAATGATTCTAGAAAATTACTACATAAAAACCAAATGAAAGGAACATTTGGATTTGGACCTTTGACCATAGCAAAACTAACATGTAATTTATGAAATGTGAAGGTTGTATATCATTAAATACTATTCTGTAATATTAATAATTGTTCGGCAAATCCTCATTTTAATGGCTCGGCTGAAAATGGAATCTGCATTTTGTGAACAAGTAATTTGGTAACAATTCAGTAATTTCAAATGTTGATAACAGTAGCCTATCCTGTATAAATACTGTTATTTGATTGCCAAGCCACGGGCTATACATACGTCCAGTTACAACCATAATAATAAGTAAATAAATTAATTACCTAGGCTTATAGAAGTCCACTTTTATCCACGGTAATTGTCAAGGCTTGTCCAGAAGTAGGCTACTAATTTCTAATTATATTATCTACATTGTATATTTAACTATCTAACACTTTTCCCCTCTTTCTTTTTACACGGATTCAAAAGCTCCCATTCTTTGTCTCATCTGGTCCGCATGTTTCCTTTTTATAATACCTCCACAAAGTACATCATATGAGTACAGTCCATTTTTATTTTTCACCATTCCAGCTGACCAACCATTTCCATGTTCATTCTTAATCCACACATCTTCTCCCTCTTCAAAAATTCGAACTTTTTTGTTGTCCCTCCCTTGTTCTTTCCAAAGCTTCATCTCCATCTTTTTCCTAAGATTAGGTTTCATATTGTCAAAAATTGTTGGTAGTCTACGACCGAGAAACAATTCTGCAGGAGCCCTACCAGTTGTTTTCTGAGGCGAGTTTCTGTAGCTAAAAAGAACATTTTGAAGAGCTAGCATTCCATCTCCAACATCCTGCTTTGTTGTGTAGAACCGTCTTTTCAAAGTCCGAATTAGTCTTTCCACAAGTCCATTACTTTTAGGATGGTAGGGAGTTGTTTTTATGTGGTTGATAGAATTTTTCTCAAAAAATGTTTCCATTTCCTTTGATACAAATTGAGGTCCATTGTCTGTCACAATTTCACTTGGTATTCCATATCGACTAAACCAAGATCTCAATCGTTGAATGATTGTTGAAGAGTTTGTTGTCTTGAGACAGTCCACTTCTGCCCACTTTGACAAAGCATCAATACCTACCAACCACATAGATCCGTTGACTGGCCCTGCCAGATCAATGTGTACCCTTTCCCAAACTCTATCAGGTACATTCCAAGGATATAATGGTACTTCTTCCACATTATCTCGATTCTCTTGACAAGATGTGCACCTTTTGATATAAACTTCGATATCTTTATCCATGTTGGGCCACCATACATAGTGCCGTGCTACAGACCTCATTGATACAATACCAGGATGTCCTGTGTGCAATATCTTCAGAACATCAGTTCTCATGCATTCTGGAACTACAATTCTTCCAAACCACAATAATATGTCATCTTCAACACTCAATTCATCTTTCCTCTGTTTGTATGACTTCAACATTTCAGGAACAACAGGGGGCCATGTATTTCTCAATACAAAGTTTTTTGCCATTTTAATTGCTTTATCTGTAAATGAATTTGTTTCAAGAGGTCATAAGACATGATAGAGTTAACATCCTTATCAACATTCAAAAAGCCAATGTGAGCCTCCTCAGGTTGATCTTCTTCAATCGGAAGTCTTGATAGAACATCAGCACACCCATTATCTTCTCCTTTTCTGTACTCTATGTCATAGTTGTATTGATTCAACTGGAGAGCCCACCTCACTAAACGGCTATTTACAACTTTTGGAAGATCTCGTATATTTCCAAATATCCGTTGTAGAGGTTTGTGGTCGGTTACTAAAGTAAACTTCCGACCATATACATATTGATGAAATTTCCTGAGTCCAAACATAATAGCTAGCGCTTCTCTGTCGATATTTGAATATTGTTTTTCAGCGGGCAATAGTGTACGACTGGCAAAAGCAATTGGTCTTTCTAATCCATCTTCATATCTGTGCATTAGTACACTTCCCAATCCATTTTCTGATGCATCACAGACCATTACCAATGGTCTCATTTCTTCGTATGGCACTACTGTGTCTTTACTTGATAGAATTTCTTTTACTCTTTTAAATGTCCCCTCTTCTTGTTCGGACCATTTCCATTGCGATTTAGTCCCAGTCAGCTTATGGAGATCACTGCAAATGGCATGAAGTCCCGGAATAAATCGTTCATAGTAGTTAATAGAACCTAAAAATGATCGGAGTTCCTTGACATTAGTAGGTGACCGTGCTTCTCGAATGGCTTTTATTTTTTCTTCAGTAGGATGTATTCCATTCCGGTCGATTGTATGTCCCAAGTAAGTCACCGACTCTTCAAAAAATTTGCATTTACTAGACTTTGCTTTTATACCAGCTTCTTTCATTCGTTTCAAAACTTCTCTCAAATTTCGTAAATGCTCGTTTTTATTCCTTCCAGTTATTATAATATCGTCCAGAAGAACTCCAACCTGTGGTATCCCAGCTAAGAGTCTTTCCATATATCTTTGGAAAATACCTGGACTAGATGATATCCCAAAAGGTAAACGTTTGTATTTATAGTAACCACTATGCGTTGCTATTACTAAATACTTTTGGTGTTCTTCTGCAACCTCCATTTGTAGGTATGCATCTCGTAGGTCTATCTTGGAAAACTCTTGTCCGCCTGCAACTTTGTTTGTTAGTTCCTCAAATGTCGGAATAATTGCATTTTCTGGGACCAAATTTTGATTCAAAGTGACTCGGAAATCTCCACAAATTCTTATTGAACCATCATTCTTCTCTACATTAACTGTTGGGGTAGCCCAGGGAATAGGTGTAGCAGCAGGATCTACCTCTTCAATGATATCCTCATTTACAAGTCTTGTAAGTTCATTCTCAATTCGTTTTTTTTTCAAGGGAAACGGAACCCTGCGTGCTAAAAAATGTTGAGGGTTTGCATCTTCTCGAACGTGAATTCGTGCATTATAACCCTTGATTTTCCCATGCCCTTCAGAGAACACATCTTCAAATTCTTTTAGTACTTCCTTAACCCTCACATCATCCATCTTATATTGATTATGATTCTGCTTACATTTTACTTTACTAATAGTAACATCAGGAGGGAGGTTCATATTAAAGGCTAATATCCATGGTAAACCAAACAGCGGTTTCTCATTTCCATTTACTACTGCTACTTTTAATCTACGTTTCTCATCACCTACTGTAACATTGACATAACATTCACCAAGTATATCTAAAATATTGTTTCCATATGCCACATATTTTGAATTAGTCTTATCAAGTCTTGGTGAACCAATTTTCTCCCAAAGAGGCTTACCTATCATTGAGGCCCAAGCTCCAGAGTCAAATTCCATGTTTGTAGCTACCTTATTTAACTTTAAATGAATTCGTGCTTTACAAATATGTCTTCTTTCCTTTTTAACATCGTTTATCCTCATGTCATGTGAGTCCGATTCAGATTCTTCATCTTCTGACTTTTCATGTAAATTATTCACTCGTTTTTGCCGACATACCTTTGCAAAATGTCCTATTTTTTTACAATTTAAACACTTTTGTTGATAGGCTGGACATTTACCAAATTCATGCTTTGTTCCACATCTACTACATGGATGATTTGTCTTTTCATTGTATTTCACTTCTCTTTTAAACTCCTTATTGTTTCTTCTTACTTGTGATACTTCCAACTCTTTATCATTATTCTTGAATATCTCATGACGAGCTATTTCCATTGAAATGGCCAGTTCAAAAACATCTTCAGATGTTAACTTGTCACCATTTTCTTTTACCCCATCAGGCCATCGTTGTCTAATTTCTACTTCAAACTCTGGAAAATTTATACCTCCAGCAAATCTGTCTCTTATTCTTTCATCAAACTTGTTCTCATACTTACAAAAATCTGCTAAATTTTTCAAACGTATTACAAATTCTGAAAGACTTTCACTATTTTCTCTGATAGGCCTACTTTTTTCAAATTCCATTCTAGCTGAAAATATAGTTTTACTAGCTTTGTATACTGACCTGAAACCATTAACTAGTTCTGCCCACGTAGCCTGATGTACTTTTAAAGGCAGCAGAAAGTTTGAAACTTTTCTTAATGGTGCAGGACCCACATAGGCAAGTAAAAGATCCCTTCGAGCATCCTCTGCTCTCTGAGAATCTTCTCCCAATCCTTTTACCTTGCATAACAATAGAAAATGTGCTTCATAATCATCCCACCTACTAGACTCATCATAGCTTTGACATTTGAACTTCTCTATCTTTGATTGCAATGCGTCTTCTTTAGTTGCATACTCATCTTCTTCATTGAAATAACTATTTCTTCTTTTGGTTCGTTTACTCATCGTCGCCAATATAGAATTACACTAAATGATATTCAAAATATAAAAGAACCATTTTATTGAATTCTTAAACACATCAACCTAAGCAGAATATTTACTAACAAACTTAATAATAATAAATCAGCTGATGTATTAATTACTTATACATTTAACTATCTAACAGGTGTTATATATTATCAGTCATTCCGATATATTTGGCAGTTATGGAAAGTACAATAATTATGATAAACCAAACACATCTTATTGCATCATAGAACATAGAACATAGAACATAAAACGTAAGTGAAATGTGTATTTTTTCTTACTGGAAGGACATTTGAAATGACGTAGGATAGTAGAAAGTGTGACGTTTGCAAAAAAAATCATTTATTGTAAAATTCTTTAATTGTTATGGTATTATTTGATTCAATTGTTATCTGGAATTCCCATGTTATTTTCATAGAGAATAAGAACACTTTTGAGTTTGCTTGTTTATTGTTAGATTTAATCAAATTTGACAAATCTATTTATTCCATACACAGCTGCTAGCTTACAACACATTTTATTGTCTTAGGCAATTCAGTAAAATCCAATCAGGAAAATGATAATTTGCTTGTACAATGGTGGTATGTGAGTGTCCTTGAACAAAAAAAATTATGCGGCTTTCAGGGGAACTCCTATATTGCCAAGTGTATAGTTTGGAGGTGGGGGGGGGGGGGGGGGGTAGTGTAGTTTACTGTTTGTAAATAAAATAAGTTCTTCGGATCAAAAATGTTTAAACTGTTCTGAGAACAATTGACATCAACTTCACTCTTGAGTTTAAGTAAAAAGAGGTTAACTACTACCCATATCCAAGAACATAAATTTTAATGCTTGCAGCTGAGAAACTGTTCCCGAAATGAATAAAAAGCTCAACGCGTTAAAATTAGACGCTTGAATTGTCGAAGTACGATGGGACATAACATGGGGCACAGAACGTTGTCGATACGCCGCTATCTGGTCGTTATGTCGCCGATTGTCAGATGGACGAGCCACATGTGCAATATCAAACGGTTATTGTTCTGACCGGGATTTATCACTTGTTTACGGTCCCTCCCATTGGGGACTTTTAACATTAACCCAAACACATGTAAACTAATTGAGCGTTTACACTGTAAATTCACGTGGAAGGATTTCGACGAACGTTGAATCAGATGTTTAGTTTTTTGCGTATATTGCTCGTCTGTAATCAAAAGTTCGATGGTTCGATAGTGAGAAAATATAGTACAGCATGGCTTACTTTATGTGAAAAAAACAACTTACCAAATTATAATAACCATAATTAGACTATCATCCAGAAGTTACTGATGAGGGGGGTATACGAGTCTCGTATATACGAGGGGTATAAAAGGTATAAAAAGGGTACAAAAGACCCAATTCATGTATTACTTTTTTAATGCCAATGATGTTTAAAAAAAATCTTAGACGACAAACTTTCACTACCTTCCCTCCTATAATTCCCTCCCCTCCCATAATTCCCTCCCCCGGGAAATGACTTAAAAGGGTCTCCGTCCTGATAGATGGAGATTGATCCCTCTAATGGATATTATTACAATATCCAGACCGAACCTAACTGACCCCAATATCACGGCGAAGTTAAGTAATTAGTTATACGTAGCTACTGACATTGTATCCCTATCAATAACTGACCATCATTACATTTCAATAGGGTTATGCTTCAATTCATACCTATTTGCGTTGTTTAAAAAAAGTGGAAAACTTGTGTGAAACTAAAAATTAAATTTTCTGTAGATCTGTATAGCGATAAGACTTTGCCTATATCACTTTACGCAGTAGTAATTAAATCCTAACACTATATTAAAACAATGTTGACTGTATTAAATAAGTAGGTACAATTAATTAATTTAAAACTGTGTATGGAAATTATTCTTCTCTTTTGCGTAGTATTAACCACAGTTTCAAATGGTGAAAAATACAATACGTTAAAGGTAAGTTTTTACAAAAAAAGTTCATTGTATTTATACTACTTTTTAGTCTTCAAACGAGTAGAAATGTCTCTATATCGGATCTATCACTGTTCTCTATCACTATGGAAATTCGTTAATCAATTTGATTTTGATAAGTTACTAAACTCTAAGAACAAACTCATCTTTAGTGTAT